CTTTATATGGTACTCATCATTTCTTACTTCTTTAATGGTAGAAGTATAATATATTTTTCATCCTTGTTAAATGTGTAAATTTTTTTGTGGCTATCATGAAATTTATCCTTGTCATAATGTCATGATCAGTCCAACAGAATATGATACGCATCCATAAGCACATATCATAACAAATTTGATCATGCAGCTTATAATCAATTAAAAATTTTACCAGATATCTCTTATCGACATAGATCTCATTTCCTTTCTTCAACAAAGTCAAGAATATGGCTGAGAAAGTTTTTGAGTAGTGCTGCTCAATTTGTTCACTATTTGTGCAGATAGCACATTTTCATGTCTCCATTTATAATGAGGTTGCACACATCAATTTCTCAGTATAATGGGTATGGAAGTTATGTCTAAGCGAGCTACTTTTGATCTCTCTTAGGTTAGTTCTAGAGCACTCGTGGAACCACAAGTATCCCTTTGTCATAAGTGGGTAGCCGGTACTTTTCACCTGTCTCCTCCCTTAGGTCTTCACTCTTTGCCCAATATAATGTTCCATGCTCAGTAAAAGAAATTAATCTCCTATTCTAGCAATTCAATGCAATGTGTCCGTATCGATGACATTTGAAACACTTCCTATTTGGAAATGTTTCGAGGGTCTGGTCCGATCATTCAGCTTTTTCCTATGTATTGGCTTCTCTTACAAGAGTAGGTCTAGGTACTTTGGTCGGTGTGCTCTTGTTACCTAATCTAAAGGTTGAAGCGTATTTGAAGGGTGGTGTGTATCTAATATTGCAAAAATATATATGATTATAATATTTAAAAAGCCTTGATGGATTTCAACCGAGAAGATGTAGTAAAAAAAGATAAATAAATCATCATTATTAGCATTGATAGCAAGGAGTATGCCTTAGAGGAAGGTGAATTTAAAGGTGCCTTTATAATGGAATTTTTTTTTTTCATATATGACGCATATTTGATCATAACTTCACATGTGGTAATAATGATTTACACAGTGAAGTTGTATGATTTACACTTTATCCCATAATAGTTGTTTAAAGGATTTTGCATGGATTATAGGCTAGGTGATTGTCTAAGCGACTATAGCATCAATTGGCATCCAACCAACCAGTCATAATGGGATCATGGTTTCGACAAAGCAACCACATACTTGTATTGAGTGGATAATCCCAAGGGCCTACTTAAGCTCATGCCTCAACAATCATAGCCTTGATTGCCATACCATCTAAGAGACCAAAAAGGATTATGGCTTGGACAAATGCCTTAAAGATATTATCTCTATATTGGGGATGATCAGAAAAGTTATAAAATTTTGGTTTGAGCGATTACCTCAGAGGCTATAACATTTACCAAGGGCAATCCTAAAAATTTATCTAAGGTTATGGCTTGGGTAAATACCAAGTCGACTATATCCTTTACTAGGTCATACTTAAAAGAATTTTTGTAGTTATAATCTTGGTGAAAGCTTAGCGACAATGCAAATGGGCCCATCCTAGAAGTTTGTTTAGTGTTACGATTTGGGAAAAATGTCATGGTATCAAAAACCCTTACTAGTAAATCCAATAAGTTCATTTTGAAATACGGAATGAGCTAGCCTTAGAGATTGCACCACTAAAGAAGATAAATGAAGTTAAGTAATATAAAGACTTAATTGCTCCCGTCATTGGAAAGTATACAGTATATGAAGAAAGAGAGAGCATCAACAATTAATATCACTTTATTGACACACAACACTATTAAAGAAGCACAATACAAACATAGGTCAAGGAATTTCTTAAGATGTTCAGCATTATAAGTACAAAAACACCAAACTCCTCAAAAGTTTATGTTTAAACATATAATGATGGTTGCAATCATGAAGTGGGGGTAAAAGAGCCATCTACCAGAATTCATGCAACAATAACAAAGAAAGGCAACTAAAAACCTATTTGAAGATTGTTAGAATTGGGCAGAGTGGATGAGGTGGTCAAACATTAGTATACATAGGAAGAAAGCTCGGGTTGCCAAAAATGCAAGGCCCGTATGAGGGAATTGTTTCAAGCAACTTGTGAACAGCAAATGCATTCACTTCTTGATTCTCTAAAGCTTCTAACCAGGTCTATATTATCCAATCGACATTTTTGAAATTTCTTTTTTTTTTTAATATTTCTTAAACAACTAATCTACTCTTAGCTTTTCAGTTTATTTTTCAATGGTTGGAGATTCGGCCTATCCACAGCATGAATGATGATAGTAAGAGGACAATTAACATCAACATCAAGAGGCAAGGAAAAGAGTTTCATGGCAATGGTTTTCAACAAAGTCCATGGTAGATTCTATGTTTTTTATTTATTTATTCACCTCATATTCCTTTCCCTATTTCTCAAACAAATGAATATCTAGAGTTAACATCTTAAATTGCACATGGGATAGGGTTTTCTAGCTAGTTTCTCTTTTTTTTTTTCTTTGGAAAGGTGGCTCAACTAGTAATCATGGTGGATACAAGAGATAAAAACAAATTAAAGCTACAAAAAGCATAATAGGGCTATTACTTTCATTATTTTAATTTGTGCGAGCCTTGTTGCTCAGTATGAGATTTTTTTTTTCCTTTTTGTCGGTACTCTTAGATTCTCTTAGTAGATTATAATCTTGAAAAATAGTGGTTATGTTTTTTTGAATAAGCTTTATAGTGTTCATCCTTCCATCATTCTGAAAGGTGAGAAGGGTTTGAAGAAGAGATTTAAAATTAAAATTGCTAGACCTGGAACCTCCACAAGAGAACCGTTGATTATTGTTTTTGCTTACCATCTTGGTTGAAGGTTGATTGTTCCTTTAGTTAAAAAAGAGCAAAAATTGTCGTTATCGCTAAAATGATCTAATCAGAGAGTGCAAGAATATTCTACAAGATAACAAAGAGTAAGCATTATTTGGTTAAAATTAAAATATCAAATTGAATCGATCTTATTTGATTGGTTCAATAATTTGGTTGTACTTTTAATGTTCTTTGTTCTGATTATTTATGCAGTTTTTATTGTTTAAATCAAATCAATCCAAAAATCACATCATACTTGACCAAATATATATTATACATATTATATCCACTACTTAAATATCAATTCAGTGTTCATTAATGTGTTTGATTGTGACATTCGATTTAACAAATTGACTTTAACCATTTAATTTAGAAAACATTTTAAATTTTATTTCACCCAAAGCCAAATAAAATCAACCAAACTAAAACTCAAATTCTGTTCAATTTAAAAAATATTTTTTTAAGTCAGTTTTTTTAATTTTAAAATAAAAAATTGGCTTAAATAATCCATAAACTAAACTAACCAAAATGATTGAATGCTTACCCTAAAGATGTATTTAGGAGGAACACCATCTTCAGCGTGAGCTTGCCTCCTACACACAATTAAACCCATGAGCTGATCTTGAGGAACTTTTCCTGAGGAAGATACTATGATGCACCAGTCAATTAGTGAAATAAAAGGGCTAAAGCAGCTCAATAGAGCCTTTACTAAAGAAATGAGTGAAGGAGAAGAAAGAAGAATCCTTATCATATACCTTGGCGGTATTTATAGTGTTAGGATGAAGGCCATTTTCATACCTTAGCTAAATGCATGGTGGGTGATCGAACCGCCTCATAATTGAGATCATTGTTTGATCAAAATGCCACTCAACTAAGAACAATTTGATCCTCTAAGCAATAAATCAATGGAAAACCCTACACATCATCCCTAAGATCCAAGTTAGACCATCATGAAATTGGGGATAGTGAATGATCATATGGGTGATCTTGTCCATCAGGCAATTGGATCTATTATCATGATTTTGAGAACCATAATTGAATCAATGTATCTAAAGGAGAGCAACTTCTCGAATCCTAATGTAATTCAAATATGTAAAAGCTGGAAGAACCATTAACCATTTCTCTATTATTGTATAGCCATTATATAGCCACATTTCCAAATGGCCAAGTTCCAAATAGTATTCCAATAAAACATACATGAACAAATTGAAGATAGCACAATTCATAGGACAATTTGGCCAACATGTTGACTTAATCATGACAGCTCGGCTAAGCCAACATATAGGCGATTTCATCCAATAAATTCATGAACAACCACTCATCAACTCAACCTATGTCGACCATAATCTTTTATTCTATCTTTATCGTCAATCAAAGAGATTGTTTCCACGGTTAAGAGCTCCATCAAGCCACAAAAAGCACCATATTCTTGTATTTTATCTTTTTTTGCCAAGGCATCAATGCAGTCACTTGTATAGCATAATGAATACCAGCCCAAGCCTATCAATAGACGGCCAATGTTAGAATTCGGGGGGGTACACAATCCTAGGTGTACGACTCCTGTACTCATTCATCTCAATCAAAAAAATTGCATAACCACACACTCTCTCTCTCTCTCTCTCTCTCTCTCTCTGAATTCTCTATTTCTCTTTTGTAATACACTAGTCTGGATGGCGTGAATGCACCAACAATTCAGTATCCAACAGGGAAAATGAAAGCTTTAATCTTGATATTCTTGATGGGGTGGTTGAGATTAATCAGGAGCCTTGTATTTTTATAGGAACACATCAAATTTGGATAGAAAAAACAACATCCATTATACAACAAAATTTTTTTCCCATTTCTAGCTTAGTGAGTGGGTTTTATTTTACCATTACTGTCAGTTTAATGCGGTGAATTTGAAGTTTCTAGCAGAACCATAAATTTTCTCTAACATGTTAAACTAAAGGTCGCACTTGCACAAGCAAATCTCACGATCTTATGAATTTTATGGGCTGGAGGAAAAAAAAGAATAAGAAAGACTAATCATTAAAAACTAAAACTGCACGAAATTGAATGGCAGAAACCATCAGCTTTCCTTTTTAAGTTTGATGTGCTCGCATTAAAAAGATTTGAACGAACAAAAAGAGAAATCTGCAAAAAACAACCTCTCATACTTCATCAGCAACATACCAAATAAAAACTACTTGCAGAACAAGCTTACCCAAAGGTTGTAATCTGGGCCAGAAAGAATGGGTACTGCTTCATGGGAACGAGAGCAAGCTTGTAGAGAACTCGATTCGCCACAGCAAGAAACACCGTAACAGCTGCGGCGGCAACCATGCCAGCATCGGCGATGCCGGAATTTAGCTCCGCCTCCTTCTTCGAAGCGAAAACGGGTTGACACGAGCGAGGCCTCATCAAATTAACCGATACATTGGACATCTTTACTCCGTGAACCCTAGAAAAAGAAAAACCCATTTTTCTGAGGTACACTGTAAGCGAAGTTCTAAGAGGGTTTCTACGGCTTGCTCTTGAGAGCAGTGAGTAGGTGATGGGCTTCACAGTAAAGGTTCGGCGAAGTACTGGAGCTGGAGATGCAATTGGACGAAGTTTAAAGGAAGGAAGCTCCATGGACAGCACCACACCGAGCTTATGGATGGCAACAGAAGTTGCCGCCCACCTTTGAAAGATTCTTCGCAGCTTGAGAGAGCTCAACAGCCATGAAAGTAGTCCAAATTGTTTTTTTAGCGCTACACAGTGCAAGCAAACTACGAAAAAAATACTGGGTAGGGGTGTAAACGAACCTAACTCGAACGAACAAAGCTGTGATCTTGTGTTCGGTTCTTTTAAAATTTAGTTTGTTTGAATCAATCCGGACATGGTATATGTACAAATCGAATATTTTTATAAAAAAAAATTAATTCAATACACGGTCATGATTGGAATTTTGATGCAAAACTGAATCAGGACTCCTGATACAATATTTTTTTCGTAGACTACACGAATTGGACTGCGTTTATTTTTTTATAAATGTCATAAATTGATCTTAGTTATTATAAATTATATGAGTTGAAAATGAGAGTTTTAGCTTGACAATAAGCTCTTGATATTTTTGTTATATCTGAAGGAGGATTTACATGCATACAATTCAATTTTAATGCATTTACTTATCTAACAGCTAAACTATTATTTTTGACATACGTGCCACTTGTGTGATATGACTTGAAAAATTTTTTTTTTTGAGGTTAGAGATGTAAATGCATATGAATTGAGTGGTATGTATGGAAATGTCTCTGTTCTAGAACTCATTCTATGATATTTTCTACTTATATGGGAAAATTTTTCTTAAGGGTTTTTATTGTATTCCTCAAAGAAAAATTCAGCCAAAAGGAAGGACAAAAGAGCAAGTGTGCTGAGTTTGGTTTGGAAAAATCTCACGAGTTGAGCTCTAATTAGGTTCATGAGTTATGTTTGACAGGACTTGCAAACTGAGTTTGAGGCATCTGTCAACCAGTGGACGGGCTAACTCCCATGCTGTTTAGCAAGAAATATCAGCCAGACTCATCAAATTGATCTAGTCAAGCCAGCTGCTCACGCCTTAAAAAAGTTACTTTAGTTCAGGGGCCCGATTTCAAATACCCATCCGGCGAAGAGTTTAGGTAAAAAATGAAGAGTCTAAAAGCACCACAAAACCCTATTCTATTTTCGATCTCACTCTTCTATTGCACACCACTTCATTCATCCCTTCCTAAATCAAGGACAACGATACTGTTAGTTTCTAGTTCGCTGCCCGTTCATTGACATCTCACAACCTTTTCATCAACCCCTCACTATCAGTAGCCGCTAGTTGATCGCCATTGGTTAGCCATCTTGATCTCTCGCTTACTCCCTCCTATGATTTTTATGAATTTTTTTTCATTACATAAGTCTTTAATTTTTCTCTTATGATATCCCCTGGTTCAACTATGATTCACCTCAAGTTCGAACTTAAAATCCATAAAGCCTCTCACTTATTTACCATTTGGAATTTTATTCTAAAATTATTTTAGGAAAACTTACATATATGTCGCACAATCTTTATCTATTTATATATCTAACAATTAAAATTTAATATTTATATTTACAACACTTTAATCTCTTAAGCATATAGATGAGGACTATTTTGCTTTTAAAAAATTAGTAAGTATGATATTTTCTTATGTAATACTAAAGATTAGTGTGTCATGCAACTCAATCTTAAATTTTATGTGCAAGACATATAAATACATATTAATCATTTCGTAGTCATGTAAATACCCCTTTACTCTACACAATCATATTTTTTTCGCTCCTGTCTTCCACTTGTTAAATCGATCTAATAATTTGTATGTGTTTCATAAAGTGTTTAAATAAAATAATTTAATGCATATTTTTCTAAATACTTTGTATTTTAAAAGAAATGAAATTTACATACATACCACTCATTTTTTATGTATTTGCATAGCTAAAACCTAAACTTCATTTTTTACATATATGCCATTTCATCCATATATGAAAATGTATATCACACAATCTAAAAGTTAAAATAAGATAATTTAGAAATACTTATATGATCATAAAGATTTATGTGGTCTAATTATAAAAACATAATATTTAGTTGCAATATATATATAAATAAACAAATTTGTGTGGTATGTATGTAAATGCGCCTAAATTATAAAAAAAACAATAAGAAAACTGCTTATAGATCTGTTATGGAGAGTTGGAAGGCACGCGGAGATTTGCTGCAATAAGGTTCGCCCAATTTTGTCGGCGAATGATTACCGTCTACAATTTATTGGGCTTTTAATAATTGGCCGAAAGCACGTGCAATTACGCGGCCAAATTTAATGGGATCTCGCTCTCTTTATGTTGTATCAATCGGTCATGAAACCAAGGAGAATTTTGAGGTTTGATGCGCATTTAGATTTTTTCTTTCCTGGAGTGAGACATTGTGATATTCATGCGTGCGAGAAGAAAGGTAGAGCTTAGTGGCAGAGAATTTAAAATCTTAATATTATAGAAAATCGAACGCATTCTTAACTATTGAAAGAAAAAAGGTACGATGAGACGTCTCAATTCTTATGTGAAAAATTTTGAAAAGAGAAAAAATCACGATGTCTGGTCCAGTTAAAATAATTCATCATTCATAGTGAGTACACATGTCAACTCTTCTCTTAAATTTAGGAAGATGAAATTATAAAGTTGATATTTGTACATGTACAACATTAGTTCATCGCTAATAATTATAATTTGTTTGAAATGAATGTAGCTCTTAGTGATAACAAGTTGCAAAGGTCATAGGAGGTTGCTATGGAGGCAGTAGGCGCTGTGAAGGTTGTAAATGGTGGCTATGGAGCCAGCTTGCCGTATAGGATGTAGTTGAAAGCCATTGAAGGAGCATCAATTGTCCGCGCATCGGTTGTCCGCAAAAGGTCGTAGTAAGAAATTGTTGGAGCTGCAAGCCACTTAAGCTGTAGTGGTGAGCTGTCAATGATGTTTATAGGTTGTAGGAGCATGAGTTGGGAGCTGCACGAGCTGTAAGTCATGTAGGTTGTAGTTGGTATCACATTTCTCATGTGTCACTTCGTCATTTGCGTCTATCTTTGCTTGCAACTACTTGTCAGCCACTCGTTATTGCCCACCAACTATCACCACTTATTGGCTACTACTTGTGGCCACCTGCCTACGACTAGTTCATCGTTACATGTTTGCTCCATCATTTAACATCATCATCAACACCCCTTTATATCCTTAAGGAAGTTAAAATATGAAGTCTATTTACAAAAAAAAATAAAAATAAATAAATAATAAAATCAAACAAAAAATAAAAAAAAATTTAAAATAAAGTGAATTAATTGTACTTTTGTATCTAGTTTACATTTAAATTCAAAATACTTACAACTAAGTTGCCCCTTAGTCTATAAATTAAGTATAAATATATATATATATATATATATATTGTGTTTTGCTCTTTAGAAGTGAAGTACTTATTCTAGAGTTATTTTATTTGAAATAAAGTAGCAAAGGTCATGTCATTAGTTTATTTGAAATGTTAACATGTAATAAGAACAAAAATTAAAAGCACACCCCTTCCTTATTTTAAAATACTATAAGCTGGCAATTGAAATTTTTGAATGCTTATCTACTCACCATTTAGTTTTCATTTTTGTGAATGTTCTCTTTATGAATGATGAATCACACTTCATGAACATTACAATAGAAAGTTGTTATAAGAAAGAAAAAAGGCATTTGAGAAAGCGATAGAACAATCTTTGAAATTAGAACATTTTATAGGTTGCGAGTATAATCCTAAATAACTTAAACATGGAGTATGTTGAAGAAAATTTAATCATTATCCATGTTGCTACCAATGCATTGGTTGCAGAGTTTGTTATTTATGTTAATGATATTATATCGAGACTTCAAATGAATTGAAGGTGAGTTTGAACCATCTTCGAGTGCGCATTGGCTTCAACCTCAGCAGCATGGTCGTCAAGTCTCCAGCCAGCAATAGTGGAGGGAGCGATCTTGACATCGGATGACACCGATGATCGCCATTGTGGTTCCCCGCTGCATCAGCACCGCCTTAATCCTCCCCATAATGTCCATTCCTGTGATTCTCTGTCGTCCAGATGATGCCGTGAAGGCTACTCGCCACCGCCATCACCTAGAAATGCATGGGCTGATATTTTGGAGGATTCTCCTTCTTCGAGGACTTTCAAAAAGTCGAGGGATCTTACTTCACTTCTGTACACGGCTCCCAAGAAACCATGACAACAAAGATGCTTTGGCGTTTGGCCAGACATCACCACAAACCATTTAAAAAAAAAACAAAAAAAAAACTTTGTGTTGTATCTTTCTATGTCTGCACCAGCGATGGGGCTCCAGCCAGGGCGACACCAGCGATGCCACCACCCGCCTCATCATCATCCCGCCAGAGATATCACTGTCGTGGATCAAACAATGCCGGCAAAATCCATCTCCGGCCCTTCCTCCTGCAGTATTTTTTTCTTCCCTGTCAAAGCATCAGGGCTCCTGCAATATCTTTCTTCCTTGCCAAAGCGTCAGAGGAAGCTGCGTTTCCGGCCAGTCATTTCTCCTGCAGCATTTTTTTCTTCCTTGCCCAAGCGTCAGGGGGAGCTGCTTTTCCAGCCAACCATTTCTCCTGCGGTTGTCTCTTTCCAAAACTTAAAATTCAGCGAAGCCTGAATTCAACAAATTCAGCCAAGCTTGAATCTCTCTTTGACGTCGAAACATATGACAAACAAACTGAAAAATTCAGCCATGCCTGAATCTAGCAAATTCAATAATCCAAACGATTAATTTTTCTTCACTACTCAGCAAGTTAGGAATTATTAACATACATTCCAAACTTGAGGGGGAGTGTTAAGAATTATAATAAGAAATAATTTATTCCTATAAGAAGTTATGAGGAATAAATTATTTCCTTAATATAAGGAGATATTTCCTTTCCTATTTTATATTTACTTCCTTAAATTAAGAATTATTTGGTTTCCTATTTTATGTTATTTCGTATATCTCCTATTAATTAATATGAATTAATTAGTGAAGATATTATATGATATATCTTTACTTTCATATCATTTTCTTTTTATTATTTTTCTTATTATATAGTTCTTGTAAGGGTTATTTATAGGTTATTTATACCCTTGTTAATATCAATGAAATAATAAAAGTATTCCACATTGTTCTGAGTTTCAACAATAAAGTTGATATTTGCACATGTACAACAGTAGTTCATCGCTAATAGTTATGATTTGTTTGAAATGAATGTAGCTCTGATAACAGGTTGCAAAGGTCGTAGGCGGTTGCTATGGAGGCAGTAGGTGCCGCGAATGCTGTAAATGGTGGTCGTGGAGCCAGCATGCCGTATAGGATGTAGTTGAAAGCCATTGAAGGAGCATCGGTTGTCCGCAAAAGGTCGTAGTAAGAAATTGTTGGAGCTGCAAGCCACTTAAGCTGTAGTGGTGAGCTGTCAATGATGTTTATAGGTTGTAGGAGCATGAGTTGGGAGCTGTATGAGCTGTAAGTGTCGGCACTATTTTTGGTGTGGGGTTTG